CCTGCTGCGACCCAGATGTAAAATTTTGGATTAGTAGTTGCTAAATGCAGGACTCGGTTTGAGGGAGATGAGAAAAACGTCAGGCTCAAACTGTGTTTTGCCATGTATTTCATCTAATGACATATCTGGGAAGTTTAGGGAGCTGAAAATTGGTTTTTCCTTTCAGAAGAAGGCTTGCTGTTAGATCAAAGATGGCACACTAGCAATCGTAGCAGTGCCTCTGCCAACTATTTTCATCACCAGTTCTTAAAACAGGGATATATTTGGGGGATGTTGGATTCTGTGGGGCTGGGGGTGCATGCTGTGGGTATGGAGGTGGGCACTGCGGCAATGTTTTCAGAAGTGTAAGGTTTTTTATTTTATTTTTATTTCTTTTTCAATTTAATTTGGACAAGCAAATCCATGTGGGAGGCTCAGGACTGACAGCTCTTCTTATATCCGAGGGACGCCCAAGGGAAGATGCTGCTCGCAGAACTTTGATGCAAGGAATTTACAGGCTGGCTTTTGACACAGAGAGTACTCGGTAGCATGCAAGTGGGCATTCCTTTAAATGCTCTGTCTAAAATACATAATTCTTTGGGCTTTTGTGCTAAAGAAGAGGACAGAGCAATCTTTGAGTGCTGCTGTAGCCCGCTGAATGTAGCTGTGGGCACTCCAAACTATTTTCAGATGCGGGGAGACTTAAAGCAATTGCCTGCTCTTGAGAGACTGCTCAGAGGCCTTTGCTGGCGATGCGGTGAAAGGAGGCATCTTGTCCTGTAGAAAAGTGGTCGTGACTTATTTCCCATTAAGCACAAGATCATCTTAAGATCTGAAGCCTGAGGTTTCCCTCGCTGATGCTAGTAGAGCTCTTTCGCAGTCACGCAAATGAATGGAAAGGCCTTTGAAAGCCCTCTGAAAAACTTTTGCAAGGATTTAACTTCTCTTTGACTTTGCTCTGCGTTTCTCCTGCGGTGACTCATGCACGCTGACTTTGAGGACAAGCCTGGGTGCATTCCCTGGCCTGAATTTCCCTCCCAGAGCCTGGTGAGGAGGAGGAGGACCTGGTGTATTTGAGATGCACTTCTCGTGTGCAGGGAGAGCAGGGGTGTCCAAGTGATGCCTCACACCTGAGTGGCTCAGGGCATGTCTGTGTCCTTGGCAGGTACCATGTGCAGGAGCCAGCATATCTCTGTCTGGAGCGGGTACACAGGGCTGCTCACCCAAAAAGCTGCAGTTCGATGTGGTCTGGCTGCCATCTCCCCTTGGCTGCTGGGGGAGTGTAGGTAGCCTTTTATATAGGCTCTGTCTCCATCCCACCATCAGCCCATCTTGTAGCAGCAGTGACCACCCCAGCCTGAAGCAAATCAGCGCCTGTGGAGACCTGTTTGCAGCGCTGGGCACAGCCAGACTCTGTTGGAATCTGTTAAGGAGATGCATTAGAAATGCAGCCAGTGCAGGCTCAAGGCAGGGAGCTGAACCTTTCTGGAGTGTGGGCTTGCAGGGCTTGTGTCAGGGGACTCCCAAGTTTTGCATGCAAAGCAGAGCCGTCCTCTCCCTTCTTAGGCAGGTATTGCACCACCGAGTCGGTGGGCAAACCTGATTTCCCTGGCACAGGGAACCAACATGCTTTCTGCTGTGTCCTCAGCTAAGTCTGCCACCAGCCAAAAGATTGCTTCACCTACAGCACCCAGCCGAGCCCTGAGACAGCACACACGGCCGGGGGCTGCCTGCCTGCCTTGCATGAGAAGCCTTCCAGATGGGACAGCCTGTGCTAGTCTTTCCTCCTAAAGCGTTTCTCTCTTAGTAAAGGTTGTAATTAGATCCTACGCTGCAGCAGAGCATGGGCAAAAGGATGTCCCTCATCCCTGCTCTGTTGTGCAGGTTAACACTGAGCTGGGGGCTGGATTGCACAGGACCTGCCCGCAGTGGCCAGCAGACCCCAGTGCAGAAATCTTCAGGTGAGGGGTTAGTGGGCTGGGATGCTCCAGCTTGCATTTGGAAGCATTATAATTGTCTTAAGAGATATTTCATAGCAAGGCTTATCGCCGAGGGGCAGAGCTGCACACACAGCGATACTGTACATCTGGACCCAAGCAGGTTTGCACAGTGCTAGCTTTCATGTCGCTGCACCTGCAGTGTAGATGCACCAAGGAAAACCTCTGCATGGTGAGGGAAGGCACTCAGCATGCAGCCAGACACAGCGGAAGCAGATGCTCTTCCTTCGAGCCAGATCAGTTACAACTGCTCAGTCCAGCACCGAAATCAGCTCTTGGATCTTTGACCCTCAAGTAATAAAATCAAAAAGGAAGCTCTCTGGTTTCTTGGTTTCTTGTTACTAGCCGAGAGCCCTGCTGTAAGGGACCTCATCTAATGGTTTCACAAGTTGTTTAGCTCAAAGTGGTGCTCTTGGTTGTGATGGGGAGAGGACAGGAAACTGCTGGGGTGCCAGGGCTGAGCCGTCTGCCCTGGGTGCAGACTCTCATTCACATGCCTTTCTTTTTTTTTTGTATTCTTGTTTCTCTCCTCTTTGCACTTAAAAGGGGCCAAACTTGCATAAAGGACCAAGTAGGGAATCCCCTTTCAGGAGCTACTGGTGGGAAGATACACTGCCTTGTGCACATCAGTGCAGGTATCGATGGACCCGATTGCTGCAGAGCACCATGGAAACCGGGACTTATAACTAGGTATCAAGAGGGATAAGTCAAGTTTGTAAGTGGCAGATCCATGAGCAGCTTTGGAATGGGATGATCCAAGTGTAACCACCAGTTCTGAAACCCCTGTCCTATGTGGGGCGGGGGGCCCAGAGCTTGAATCAGTGAGGCTCTTCCGCTGTTGCCACCAGGACCGTGTCCACCGTTGGAGCACATGGTCCCTGTGATGCTGACACAGGATGGCACAGAATTACATGAGAAATGAGGGAGTTTCTTTATCCATTTTGGCATCACAGGAGCCCTCCTTCTGTTTGTGTTGCTGGGGAAGGGGGAGCAGTGATTAGGTTTAGCTAGAATTCAGTATATATTTTTTATATGCTTTGGAATGTCTGAGATGTTAAAGAAGGGAGATTTCTATTCCTGAGTTAGATGGAGCCTGGGTGCAGTCCTAAGGGAGGACACGACATGGAAGGCGCTTCCTAGCTTCTCTCCAGCACCAGTGGTGTTTTTCATTTGGCTGCACATACTCAAGGGGACACTTTTCCAGGGGGAATATCAGCTGAGAGTTATACTCCTATTCTTTCATGAATCACTGATGTTTCTGTGCTGGCTGCCTTGGGGAGAGACCTGGGAAAGTGTCTCCCTCCTTCCTGAGTGGGAGACTGCTGCTCTGCTGAGTGTGAAGTAATTTCAAGTTCTTCGTTAATCTGCTGATCGGTTGGGAGTGCCACCTCGTTTGCATGGCTAAAGCGTGGTGTCATATTAAAATTAGCTGGTTTTTACTTTGGGAGCAAACCATTTCCCTGGGTGCAGCTCTTGGCTTTTCTTCCCATCGGTGTGTCTAATGGCCAGGTCCCTCTGCACTGGCACCTGGGCTGCAGGAGCCCAGAGTTGGTTCATGGAGGACCACAGAGAGAATAATGCAGAGCAGGCATGGCACTGAACAAATATACATGGGTATATTTATATATGACATTGGAAAATAAGACAGCCCTTGGCTTCCCATCTCAGTCCATCAGATGGTAGGTATTCAAGGGCTGGGTGTGCTGCACAACAACATTGGCCAGTGTTTCATGCAGACATATCTGCAGGCGTAAGTGCATGTGAGCAGGGGTGCCATGCCATACATCCCAGCTCGTTCTTGAGAGTGTGCACTCAGCTTTGGTTCTGTTGGACCCTTCTTGCATCTCTGAAAGTACCACATATTTGCACTGCATGCATTCAATTGCTTTCAGGTGTAGTGATCTACACAGGGATGGGGACTTCAGACTGAAGTTTCCTACTATTGGAGAACTTTAGTCCAGGATTAGATTTCTGGGCTTTGATTACTCTATGCTCGGAAGGGCAGGTGAGGACATCCATGTTGTCCAAAGCAGTAAGTACCTCTGAATTTGCAGCGTCATTCTTACCTTGTAATGCTTGTACAGTAACCAATATTACCTTGCTTTTCCAGGGAAGGGAATGAACCTGGAGATTCTGCAAAAATCACATACAGCGAGTTGCTGCACAAAGTCTGTCAGTTTGCCAATGTCCTCCGCAGCCAAGGTACGCAGCTGAAGCAATACAAGCATTGGATACTGGGAAGGCATTAGACGGGGTTTTGGAGATTGAGTTAATTTTTTGTGTGGTTGCCAGTCTGTTGAGTAATTCTGTGCAAAATGCTTCGCTTCTCTCTCTGCTTCCACAGTTGTAAAGCAGGGTGGATGCAGATTTGCTCTGCAGTGCTCTTTTGGAGATTCATCTCTGGCTCTGTCTGTGAAAACTAATCAATGCAGGTCATGTCAGCTGTACAAGGAAGAAATTTGTGCTCAAAACTTCCTGCTCTGGGGTTTTCCAGCAAGTGGTGGGCACTGGTTACATTTCTGCCTCCTTCAAGGGCTGTGTCCAACAAGGACATGGAGTGTTCATTGCAGTCATCTTACAAGAGCCATAGGGCTTGAAAGGCAAAACCCAAGGCTGGTTCAGGTCTAACTCCAGCTGAAGCTTTATTGTATGCATATAAATACTGATTTTAAATAATTCATTTCTTTCTGTATCATGTTCTTTTGACATGTGACATGTTCATTTTGTCAAATGCCATGTTCATTTTCCCTCCACAGGCGTGAAAAAAGGAGACCAAATTTCCATCTACATGCCAATGATCCTGGAGCTGGTTGTAGCCATGCTTGCCTGTGCCAGGATTGGAGCTCTGCACTCCATTGTGGTAGGGACGAGCCCTTTCTGTTGCTCTTGGTGCTGAGCTCTTTGTGGGGAATAGCTCTTGTTTTTGAGAGAGGAGCTGGAAAGATGGGTGCTGACCAGGATATGGATGGAAACTAAATTCAGGTGCTGCTGTTTCCTAGCCCTTTTCTGCATTAACTATGGAATGAGCTCCTTTAGCTCTCTCCATCAGTGCCTGGTGCTATTGTTTACCATGGGTGAACTGCACAGCTGCTGTTGGGTTTTTAGGGTTGTGGGGTTTTTCGTGTTCTTGCTGACTTGGCTGTGTGATCTCCGTCAGTTTGCAGGTTTCTCAGCAGACTCTCTTTGTGAGCGGATTCTTGACTGTGGTTGTTCTCTCCTCATCACGGCAGGTAGGACATACATCTGTGCCCCTGAGCCATTACCGTTGCCTGTCTGAAAGGTCTTTATCTTAAAAGCCAAATGCACTTGGAAATGGAAGAGGAAGGGGCAGTGCTTCAGCTGAGCTGCCGCAAAGCGGATGCAGTGCTTGTAGCTGTGCTTGAGTACTGTTTTCCACTTTGAATGTACAGTGAAGCATCTAAGCAGCCCGCCCACTTTGTCCTGTAAAGCATGATGTCACCAGCTGCTAATAACATGTTTCCAAACGCTTCTCATCCATGTTCCTCTTCAAAATAAGCCAGATGTTTGCAAGATGTATCACTTATGAGGCAGTCCTAATAGGAGAATTCCCTCCCTTCCCAATTTCAAGGACATTTCTGCTGCAACTCTAAGCATTGTAAAGGAAGGGATCAAGAAAGTGTTAGTGTTTGCATGTAAGCCCACTGCATTTCCCCAAATGATTTTTGCAATAGTGCAAAAAATAGTGTTTTTATTAATAGGTCCATGGCATGGGAAGGACCCACTAAACTGCAATCTGTGTTCTGCCTGCATTGGATTATTTCCCACAGAATATTCCTAAGTGACTTGTTGGGTCAAACTGGAACCTCTCCCAGGGAGGGAATTTCACCATTTCTCTTGGCATCTGTTTCTCTAGGCTAAAAGGGTGTGTTAGGAAACCTTTCCCATCAGCTGCCTCTCTGCTTTCCCTCACTCCAGTGCATGAGCTCTGCTCTGCCCTCCTGAAACTGCTTGTTGCTTCTAGCCGTCCCAGGCTGCCTTGGCTGTGAGGCCTCTCTAATGTTTTCCTTATTCTTTTGCAGATGCCTTTTATCGAGGGGACAAGCTGATCAACTTGAAGCAGATTGCAGATGAAGCCCTCCAGAAGTGTAAAGACAAGTAAGTTTGGATTCTCTTGTAAGAAGGACATTGCTGCTGGATTCTGCTCCTGCACGAATGGAAATGCAGGTTTTTATAGGTGGGCAGACACTGCAGCAGGTCAGACATGAGCTGCACTACGTTCATGAGCCTTTCAGAAGCAATACATGCTTCGACTCCCTTGTCTTAAAAATATTTTCTTTTGCCTTTCCTCTTGTCCGTTCTGACCTGAAGGCCCACATACTGGATCGGAGGATTTGCTACAGACAGACTGATTCACCATCATTGTGGCTCATGGCAGATCTTCCCAGTTCTGCAGCAGCAGCTCTTGGAATGGGAGGGAATAATGCACTGTCATACTAGTTGTGAACAGTTGGACACAGTGCCGTGGGGCAGGTCAAGAGGAGGCTTAAGTCTTGCTCCAAAGCCACCAATTCAACAATAATGAAATAAACCAGAAACAATTCAAATTTGGGAAATGGCTCTGTAAACAGGAACAGGCACTCCAGTTGACATGCACCAACATGTGCCCTGGATCAGGGCCTGACTGCACACAATTATATGGTGAAGCTCCTTTATTGTTTTTAAGCATCTTCATTGAGATGCTGTAAACCATAAAGAGATAGACAGATCTATCATCAGGTTTTACAGAAAGGGAAATAATCATGGTGAAATGACTTTGCCAAGCTTAGGTGTCTGCGTAGCTTGTATGAGACTGAATGTGGTCTTGTAAGTTAGATCAAACATGACAATTTAGGGCAGATAGTCTGCGTGTTAGAAATTCAGACTCTTTAAAAGCATTTAAAACTCTAAACCTTAAAAACATAAGTTTATATGTCCGTAAAAGTAGGTACCTTGGAGGGCAGAAGTGATCCTGAAGTTGGGAACTGACTGATGGAGACAGTGTGTTGATACCCTGACAGGGCTGAAGGGAGATAAGGTCATTGTGTTTGTGTTATAGGTGGGCTGTTGGCCCTTGTGAGGGGAAAAACACTCGCGCTTTTCCTTGGTGTATAATCTGACTTTGGAGGCCTTTCCTCCTCCTGAATAAGACCGTTGGTCACACTTCGGGTTGGGAGCAGCCACCTAGTATTTCTTGGGTGCTGTGGGAGGTCTTGTTTGTGGTCACGGGCAGGCGAATTTGGGATTTATAAGGAATCTGCCCAGCAGTGACCTGTGAGAGATACGTGTGGGATCCCCACTTCCTCCATAGGAACTGCACCTGATAAATCCCCAGTAAGCTGGGCACAGACCTTTCCTGTTCTCCAAGCTCCGTTCCTGTGACTGGTGTCCCTTGGCAATTAATGATATGCCTGGAGTTTGCATGGTGGCATACACTTTAGCTCAACAAAAGCGGCTCAGGGCCCCTGCTCTGCCTCCAGTGCTGTCTGTAAAGCCCACAAAGGGCAGGCTTAGCCTGATCTGACAGCTTCTGCCTTTTACAGGGGTTCTCCTTTGAAAAAGTGCATCGTGGTGAAACACCTGGGAAGGGAAGAGATAGTGGTGGATGGAACATGCAGCAAGTCTCCCCCTCTCAAAAGGCTGTGCCAGGATGTACAGGTATGCTCCTGGGGGGATGAGAGGAGGGATTTTATAGCTGTGGGCCTGAGCCCAGCAAATCTGTCAGTGCAAAACCACTGCAGTGCTCCCCTGGATGCTCCTGTTCCGTGACTCCTGTACCTGTTTTCTCCCCTCCTTGCTGTTTTTGCATTGTGAGTGTCTGGAAAATGGTTCCTTTGCCTTACCAAGATCTTCTCCCTCCTGCTTCCTTTAACACCATCGCTAGCTGCCAGCCCACAGGACCCCTGAGAGCACAGCGGGCTACATCCTCCAAAGCCACTAGGACAAGGACAAGATGACCATTTTCCTCCACCCAATGAAGGACTTTTCCTTCTTAGCCCTGTATCTGTCTCCGCTTTTGTGCAAAGACCAATGCTATCCTGCACTGTAGCTGTGACAGTGGAAGCAGGAGAGGGAAAAACAGGAGATTTGTGCTCATGGTGTGGGTTCAACACAGCCCCGCCCAAACATGACAACAGTCATATGCGGAGAATAGTGCAGTCTCTGTGTAGCTGGCATAGTAACCGTGTCAGCTGTCGGGGCTGGAGCTTTCCTTTGCATCTGAAACCGGATGGAAGGATGTGGGCCAGAGGCATGCGGTGAGACGGGGGTGGAAGGAGGAGAAGGTGTCGTGGAGCTGTGGCTGCCTGCTGAGCTCTTGAGGCTGGTGTGCAGTTCTGCTGTGCCCGGCAGCTACCTGCTGCCTTCATCCACTTAAAAGGCAGGTTGCTTTCAGCTACCTCACAGCTCCATGTCTTGCAATGGTGTCTTCTGTCCCTGTGTATTTGGTGATTATTTGCATTGGGTTATCGCTAGGCTGTTTGCTTGCTCAGAAATGGGGTTGTATTTGGGGAGCACGTTTGAGGTCTGGGCTCTGCTTTCAGAAGGGAGGGTCTGTGCACATCCGTGGAACAAGAAGTACAGCAGGTTCTGTATCTTTGAGTTAATTTTCTGAGTTCATCTGCGTTAATTTTTTTGGGGTGTTGTTCAGTGTTTGCCAGCCTGGCTGTGTTACATTGGTCTTCTCTGCCACTTCTCTTGTGAGGGCAGGGTAGCTGCAAAGGGGTGGGAAAACTGGAGCAGACCAGCATTCCTGGGTGAGGTTTCCCTGGTTGCGGGGTCGCATAGAAGCCTGTCCCTGCACTGGTCGCTGTTGGTGAGGTGAGGTTATTGTGCAGAATGTCCCGGGAGGAGACTGGAGGTCTCTTACCCTTTGGCTTTTACTGCTCTACTTGTTCAGACACTTTATTAGATTACTTTCCCTTGTTGAGTGCATTTTTACAATGCTGTTGGCTTGTGTAACGCTATCAGACGGTCCGTGGGCTGTATGCCAGCTCTGTGCTTCTGCACCCAGCTGGCTGCATGCAGGGGGTGGCCTCTGCGACCTGCCCAGGAAAGGTGATGGAAACGGGCAGGCTTTCGCTGAGAGGGCATCTCATGGCCTGGCTCCGGATCTGAGCACTCTCCAGCCTGCCGGGACAGTTTCCCAGCATCCAGGACTGTGGGCTTCCAGCTCTCTGTCTGCAAAGCCCTGTGTGGATCCTCCACTTCTCAACTTTCACACCCTCTTTGTGGATTTTTAACAGGAAAAAAAGACTGAGAGCTCACAGAGACTCCATCCCAAGGTATTTACACACAGCACTGCCTTCCTCCTCGTGGCACCTCCCATCTGCTTCCCCCTCCAGCACTCCACCTTCCTAACCGCTGCGACTCTGCACGGCCACTCACCAGCAGTTGCATGTTAGTGATAGATACCACTCGCCGCTTGGCCAGAGCTGCCCACGGTTTTGGGGTTAATGGAGTGCCGCTGACTTCACTGCTAGAAACAAATCTGCATCCATAAAACTCCCTAAGTGCACGTCAGCGTACTGACGGGGGAAATGCAGAACCACTGGGATGTGCTGTCGGTGTTCGGGTAATGGTTCATCCCTCTGCCTTTTAAAAGCAGCTCTCACAATGCACTTCCCTTTGTGGTGAGGCTGGCAGGGATCGCCTGCAGCTTCCCGGCTGCGGTGGTGTGCTGTGGGCAGCAAACCTGGAGCTCCACACCCAACATGTGGACTCTGCCCGCCCCATCCACGGAGCCGTGACCTCAAGACCCTGTGAGCAGGCAGGCAGAGGCAAGCTTGGCCCCAGGGGCTGTGTGCCGTGGGTCTGACCTCCTCCGTGGAGCAGTGGAAGCTGGGTGCTAAAATGGAGGGATCCTTGAAGGAGGGATGCAAGAGAGCAACTGTTGGATGGGCTGGTGTGAGCCTACTTCGGGCTGGTTTGATCTGGTGCCTTGCTGGGAGCTTTCTGGTGGGGCAGACTTGTGGAAACTGCTTCCCCACATGAAGCCAGGAGCCCTGGGGATCCGTGAGAGCTTTCCAAGTGGGCTTGGTTATGCTGGGCTGTCCAGCAGCTAGTGTTCCATTCACCACATGTGCAGGAGCTGCATCCTGGGCCGTGGGGTCCCAGTGCCTCCAAATGGCACCTGAACATCTTTTGGGCTACAGAGAGTCACTCTGTGACCCTGTGGCTGCTCTCCATGCACCCCAGCTGAGGGAGCTGTGCGGACTCTGTGCAGGCTGTGCTTGCGCGATGGGCTGTAGCTCTGCAAGGAGGAGATGTGCCCCAGCTGGAGCTGCAAGGCTCGGGGTCAGGGTGCCTGCCCTTGCAGAGATGTGAAAAGTGGAGGTCTGTGCTGAGGCTGGGAAGTGTTGCCCACTCAGCTGCCCCCAGGCTCCTCTGAGGAAAGGCGAGAAGGTCAGGTGGAGTTAGGTCTTGCACTGAACTGTGCCATCCCAGAGAGGTGGCCAGCCAGCACAACTCTCGGGCTGACCTCTGCCCATCAGCCACAAGCATTGGTGGCTCTGTTACAGCTCTGGCATCCTCAAGCAGCTCCTTCAAGTGGCCAGCAGTGGGTGGTTCTGCATTGGAGCAGTCACTTCTTATCAGAGTAATTATGTTAAAAGCCAGATAACAGATTTTTTTTTTTTTTCCTATGTCTGCAGGACCAAGCAGCGTGAACCCAATGTGTTCATGTTTGTCTCGGCCACAAGCATTGGTGGCTCTGTTACAGCTCTGGCATCCTCAAGCAGCTCCTTCAAGTGGCCAGCAGTGGGTGGTTCTGCATTGGAGCAGTCACTTCTTATCAGAGTAATTATGTTAAAAGCCAGATAACAGATTTTTTTTTTTTTTCCTATGTCTGCAGGACCAAGCAGCGTGAACCCAATGTGTTCATGTTTGTCTCGGGCCATGCTGCTGTAGGGGTCACAGAATCACAGAATCCATTTGGTTGGAAGAGACCTCTGGGATCATCGAGCCCAACCTTTGCCCTAACAAACACCCCCATGTCAACCAGACCATGGCACTGAGTGCCATGTCCAGTCTTTTCTTAAATACCTCCAGGGATGGGGACTCCACCACCTCCCTGGGCAGCCCATTCCAATGCCTAACGACTGTTTCTGCGAAGAAATGCCTCCTAATGTCTAACCTCAACTTCCCCTAGCGCAGCTTGAGACGATGCCCTCTTGTCCTGTCACGAGTTGCCCCGGAGAAGAGACCGACGCCCCCCTGACTAC